CCGAGCAATGTTGCCATATTTTCTTTTTGTGGCTTAAGTCAATTTTTTAATAATTATTTTAATTGTCAGTTTTGACTTCTGTCAACAATAGAAAGAATATTGATAACGGTAAAGATCTATTTCTAAGCTTTTAAGTATTTTTTGAGTTTTTTTCGTATATAATATCACAAGAGAACAAATTTTGCCGGCAAAATTTTCGACTGGTATGAAATTTTGTTCCTTGGCAATTTTCGAGAATCAAATTTTGACAAAATCCCGAGACGTCAGTCGAGGGATTTTGTCAAAATTTCATTAGCGAAAATTGCCAAAAAGCAACAAACTTGAATGAAATCAGAAGAAAATTTTGCCGGTAAAAATTTTCTCTCGAGTGATATTCGACAAGACTATTTCACGAGAAAAAACAAGACAATTAATGCACCATATTAACGAAACATGTAATCTTAATTTATTTGTTAATATTAAATGTACAATTATTATATGTTATGGTAGTTTGCCCATTCTTTTCTACCAAAGCACGATTTTGTGTATTATTGACCTGTAGCATGTGGGAACTCTAAGGTCAAGCTTCATTTGTTGTTCGGAGATTTTCGATCTTCTGGTGGTGACTAGAGTCCAGCTGCAGGTATGGTTTTAGGGAGCTTGCATTTGAGTGACCCGTTAATTTAATTAACTCCTGTTCAGCAACACCTTGCTTAAACAAAGCTGACACAGCTGAAGATCGATGCTGGACAACTTTGAAGTTGCCTTCGCTTGGTATCTCTGGCCAATCTTGAACATTTGAAAGATATATCTGTGAAAGGATCGATTTTTATGCCGTATTCCGTAAAATATTTTTCTTGTACCATTTTTGCAGTTGAATTCCACATAGACTTTACAGACGACTCTTTATAGTCTTCGCCATTGCATTTTTTCATATTAAAGGCGTAATCTTCCAGAATTTTTGCCAGTTCCGTCGCGGTAGTACATTTTTCCAGTGTAAAATTTCTCACCCGTAGGAATTCTGAGAATTGGGTCCAAATAGAGCTTCTGGACCTCTGAGTATTTAATGGGATATTTTCTGAAACCAATTTTTTTATTTGTTCATCTGAATGGCACCCAAATCGTGAATTTGCGCGTGGATTCATTATTTCACAATGACGTTTGTCAAACTGGCAACAATAGAAGTATAAAACACCTTGGTGACGGATTTGTAATAATATCAAAACAACTTTAATTTTATTGTTTGTCAAACTGACAACAATAGAAGTACCAAACCATAATTTCACAGACATAATTTTGTCGCTGAGAAATCACGTCAGTAGAAAACGTGCCGTTACTATGACATTTTATTACTTAAAAATAGTGTAGTGAAATAGTCATCTGTATTGCTTTCCCTTGAAGTTACAGTAAGAATATACAATAAATCAGTTGCTTTTATAATGTTTTTTTTGGAGATTGACATACCTATTAAATAATTAATTTGTATGTAATTTATTACGATTAGTTTTTTTTGCAAAAACCAATACTACTTAATAATATTGGGACATTTGCTTTAATAGGGACTATTGTTGTTTGAAAGTAATTTCCAGCGTACTGATGTCCCTGGTGGAAGAAGTTATTGAAATTTTTACTTTTGTTAAAAAAAGTAATGCATTAATGGACATCAAATTTTTTTAATATATGCATGTTTTTTTAGGGCCAAAACCGATGCAGAAGGAAAGTTTTATACCTTTTTTCAATTCTGAACCCATTCAAAATACAGATGCACTGTTTGTATATTCATAAATTTATTTTATTGTTAAAATTAGTGTATTATAACCATTTACTTTTTAAAATAAATAAATCTTTTTGGTCAAATTTAAATAAATTAATATTATAATTATTAATATATACAAAATAGATTAGGCCGGCCCTGTAGTATAAAAGTTAATAAAATATTTGGAGTATGGCAGGCGTTTATGACGTTTGTTTGCCTAAGTTTAACACAGTGGTCGCCCTTCTTATATTCTTTTTCTATGGTTTGTTGTGGCATTGAGCCGAAATTTATTAAAATTTGAAGGTTAGTTAGTATTAAATAACAGATTTTGTAAGTTGCTTGGCAAATGTTTTGGACGATAATCAAAAACGGTTTGTTAGGCTTCTTCCTACTGAGCATGTTTACTCTCGGGTCAAAGACACGTGCAATAGTAAAATCGCACTTTGGTTAATACAGTGGGCAATGCTTTGCAAAAAGCACAAGCATTAGACGGCAGCAAAACAAAGGCCAAGTTTTCATACACACCTAGTAAAAAATTAAACACCTCGGGTTAACAGAAACTTTCAAAATGGAAATAAGGAAGACAATTTATGACATGTATGCCGCAGGTTTGTTTATTTATTTAGGCCACAATGACCAACAATAGTGGTTCTGCATTGATGTGTTTCATTTGTTTAAAAGTACTTAACTCTGAATAGGTACTCTTAATGAGCAGCTCAAATTAAAGGACATTGTTGACATAAGCAGAAGTTCCTTGTACACCTTGCTTCAGTTGCTTTAACGGGACAGCAGGATGTGGTATTTCGCAGGGCCGAATTTCTACTGCAGTTTATCCTGAAAACTCTCCGAATTTAAACGCCAAGTTGTGTTTTTGGATGAGACTTGGATTTTTTCAAGAGGCTCATGTAAACGTTCAGTGCAGGATGAAACAGCGAATGGGGTGCGCCGGCTAAATGCAAGTGAGGGCAAGCGTCTTATTATACTCCATGCAGGCCATGAGGATGGTTTTGTTGATAATGCCTTCCTCATTTTTGGGACTAAATCGAAGCTGGTAGATTACCACGGGGACATAAACGGTGAAAGTTGGGTAGCTGAAAAGTTGGTCCCAAATTTGAAGGAACTTTCACTGATTGTAATGGACAACGCTCCTTACCACAGCGTCGTAGTTAAGCATCACCCTTAAAGTGCTTGGAAAAAACAGCAAATAGGCTAACAGAACATAATATTCAGTTCACTAAAGATATGTTTAAAACAAAATTGCTGTTCCTGGAAGGCTACCACACTCCGCCGAAATGTTACAAAGTTTATGAGTACCTCCAGCAACATGGGCATGAAGTTTTGCGTCTGCCTCCATATACAATGCCAGGTCAATACCCAGCCCCGGATCTACGATTTTTTCGAACCGGGGCAACTTATTAGTGGCGCCCCCTCCCTTCAGTGTTTGAGAAAAACTGTTAAAACTGACAAATGAGTAGCATTTTTTGTAACCATTTGTGAAAATAATAATCCTTAAATAAATTTAAACTTTTTATTATCTATTAGCTAATAACTTTCATTTGTGACATAAAACAGAAACACAGAAAAAATATATACCAGGAAAGACTACAACTTTACACGGCGTGCTTTCTTTTCTGCGAAAGAATCTATTAGCTCCTCAAAGTCCGTTGCATAGGCAGTTTTGTTTTTAATGGTTAAGATCGCGAGGCCAGATAGACGCTCCTGACTCATTGTTGAACGTAGATAAGTTTTTAATTATTTTCAGTTTGCTGAAGCTTTGCTCAAAGCTTGCAGATGTTGTTGGTAATGTGCAATAAATTCTTAAAGCTATACTAACATTGGGAAACGCTTCTTGCAAATCATGCTTGTACAGATGTTGTAACCCAGATAGCACCATTCGTCCAATGGACGTCCGTTTAAGATCCATTTTAAGTACATTGGTCCACGGACTAAAAATGGATGTTCTATGTACGTTCATATATTTACATCCTTTGTACGATTTTAATGGACGTCCATATAGTGTCCATTTTACGTCCATAATTATTATTACAGAAATGCAAATTAAAACGTATTGTTGGCTTCATAACAACAGTTATGATCAATCTCACTGACATTCAAGCAAGCGCGTGCTATAAAGGACTTAAGCTATCAATGAAATGTTAAACACTTGTAGTATTGCAAATGTTATGTTCCTGAGTCGAATACAAGGATTTCCTGCAATGTTCAACATTGAATGTTGTAACTTTTAACAACTTTTAGAATATTTATATTCCTAGTGGGATTGTTACTGAGCCAGACAAAAGGCATTTCAGTCATGTTGTAGAAAATTTTCTGCAACATCGCAATTAAAATACAGTCGCAAAAAAACAGTTAAAGTAAGCAAAAAAGCAGGTCCTGGATGCTGGAGGAATGGTTCAAACACCTTATAGACGTCCATCGGTGGACGACTTATGGATGTCCAAAGTTGTGACATCTGGACTCTAAACGGATGTCCATGGGACGTCCATAGACATCCATGGACATCCTATGTACATACAGACGTCCACGAGCATACGTCCATTGGATTTCCATAGTATACCTTTGTGCTATCTGGGAACAGTTCGAAGGCAGTTGATTTTTCATTAATTTCATGTACTAGCTCTTTAAATACGGCAAGTTCCTGGCAAAACCAACTGCATTCAAGTCTTTTGAATATTTTAAAGCTAGATCGGCTCCATTTTTTTTGTAGATCTTCTGTCGACATATTTAAAAAAGCGTCGCCACTGAGGAAGGCGAATTGTTTTTAAGAATCGGCTCAATTTCCAACTTTTCTGACACAGGTGTAGCTTCTTTGATCCAATATTCTACCGGTTTTTCTCTCATTTCTTGCAAGATCTTAACATTATTGCCACAGAACGCGAAATGATAATATTCTCTTTTTGTATTTCAACGTTCACTCTATTAATCTCTCGAAGAATATTATCCCAAATTGTCAAGTTGAAATCCATTACCGCATGTAGCAAATGACCAGCTTCATACTTAGATTCTACGGCTAGAGATTTATTTAATTTCTGGTTTGACTACTTCCTTTTAAGTTTGTTTTTGTACACTTTTGGATTATTTTCCACCGCGTGGTGGATCCGACAAAGAAACAATAAAGTTTTTGTACAAGCCCAAATAGGCTAACTGCTTGTGGGCATGTTGAAGCTGCATGCACGCCAAGAAGTTTTAAAGAGTGCGCTAGACACGGTACAAACTCTGCCAGCTCGTTCGTTTGGTTAACTCTGGATTAAACTTCTTTGTATATGCCGGCCATATTGGATCCGTTGTCGTAAGATTGTCCACGACATTTTTGCACATCCAAACCATCAGCTTCTAGTTTTTCTAGAATGCGCTGTGTGATATATTCTCCAGTCTTTCCGTCAACTTCAATAAAATCAATAAAACTTTCCTTTATTTCACAACCAGTTTCTGTTATTTATCACCTGGCTTATTTGCTCTGTGTGAGATATATCTGGAGTGCAGTCAAACATGATTGTGAAATAGTTGGCATCCTTCATCTCATTGAAAATGGTATTTTAAACTTTGTTTGCCATTACATCGATGATTTCATTTTGTATCGTTTTTGACAAATAGGACACATGTCCTTTTTTAAGTAGTTCAATTGATACTTGAGAGTAGGATCATATTTAGCGAGCAGATTTATCAAATTAAGAAAATTTTTTTGATTAGGCTGAGGACCATTTTTAGCGAGATCACTCGGTGTTTCTTTAGAACCTCTAAAAGAAAGACAGTTTGTGGCAAGGTACATGATAGCGTCCGTTACTACATGTAGAATATGTCTCCATTTTTCCTTCTCGGAGTGAATTAATCATAGAGCACGATCGATGTCCTGACATGATTTCATTTGTTGCAGACGGGTTTTCCATTTAATAGTCTTTTTCCAATTTTGGACACCATCTTTACACAAGGCTGATGTAGAAGTGCTGCCGAATAGCTTGCAGGCAGTGCAGTAGAGTGCATTTCTTGTTTTCGAATAAATAAGCCAGGATTTTTTTATATTTTCGTTATTCGCCATTGTTCCGAACCACATGCTATGTGTTAAATGCCTACCGTTGCGTTCAGTGGACTTAAACTCTATATTGTTTGGATGTTCATTATTAAGTAATATTTGTTTGCTTAAAAATGACCTTTGTTGATCTGTTATTTTCTCGTGGCCCGACCAAGTACCTGGATCTATCACATCTATTATTTTGTTTTTGCCACTCGATTGTGTAAGTCACTAGATACAAGCTGAATATCATCTTTTTGTTAAGATAATACGGACGGTGGAGACTGTTCACCATCAACTGAGCTTTGACGTTTCAATTGATCAGTTGAATTAAGTTGAGTGTACAAAATGCAAGAATTGTTCGAAATTCCTGAAATTGAATCAGAAGTGTGAGCGAAACTTGAAGATCCGCCTGCTTCGATAAGCCATTTTCTCATCTTAGAAGCCGAATTCATTGCATCTTCAATTTTATCTTTTGCTCTTTTTTCTGTTTTCAGCCCCAGAAAGCTTGTTTTTTGGTGCGCTCATCGCTTGGTTTTTCCAACCTAAAAATATAAATAAATATATACCTATACACTGAAAGAAATACTAGAGATAATTAACTATAAATATTTATTTGAGACGTTTTTATTTATAATAAATACAGAAAATTTGCTGTAAATCAATTTTATTTACCTACTAACAATATATTCTAAAATTTAATTTATTTTTTATAAAAAAATTATTTATTTGGGTCGAATTTATTTGTTATTAATATACTAAATTTGTGTCAAATAAAATCGTTCAATAGTTTATAGTAAATATACGTTATATTCGTATTTAGTTCACAGTTTATTAATAATAAATATTGTTTATTAATAGTTGCCAAATTTCTAACTATTAAATCATATTGTTTGTAAGAAATATGATTTATTAATAATTAACTTTAAAATGTCACGTAGTGGGTGGTTTACATCTTTGCTGATAAAGGTGGTGGTGGTTTGTGCTTTTGAATCATTTTTCATATAATAAGGAAATTTGTATTGCGTATAAACTGTTGCAGGGATTGTGTAAGTACATAATAATATTTTTCTATGGTGTTGAATGCTAACAAAACAAAAATAGGTCCTTAAACATGGATGCTGACATGGATATAATAGATTCTAGACTGTTATACGGTTTAGAAGATCTGGCTAATACTTTTAAAGGTAAGTTTATTAGTTATTAAAAGAAATAATAATTGATGCCTTGTTATTTCGTTAAGTATTGGCTGAATTTTGTCGCAGTTTGTTTCAAGATGTTTCCACGTGTTCCATGGGATGTATTAATAATAAATAAAGTATATTTACTATAAATTCACTTGTTAATTATTAATTTTTTCAGATAATGGAGTAGATTCTTTTAAAGTATAATTTACAAGTTTTAAAATATTGGATTTTATAAAATATAAAATATATATATTTTATAAAATCCATATCCATATATATATATATATATATATATATATAGGTATATATATTCCAAAACAACTTTTGCACCAACTCCAAAATCTTTATATTTTTTACTGATGTTTGGTGACGCTTCTTGATAAGGTTCAAACCAGTTCAGATAGCCCAATCTGGTACTGCCAACCCATAACTTGTAACCGTATCGTATAGGTTTTAGATGAATATATTGTTTGCACCCATGACGACCAGGGAACCATAGCTTCATCGATCGAGTGTATTTCCTCGAGAGGCGAGTGCTCCATAAATTTTTTATCCAAAAGTGTGAAAATTGGCCTTATTTTTGTAAATTTGTCTTGTTGATCGAGCTGTTGGTTGTCACAAACATGAAGATTGGAAAACAAGTACTTGAATCTGTCTCTCGATATCGCTTTTGAAACCATGACATTATGACCATCTTTATCTCGCTCCGAGGGGTAAACCACTTTAAAATCTTAGAGACCAACGTTCAATGTTAGTGGACGTTGTGTTATGATTTTTTTCCTTATAAGTCGTTATCAATAAGGAAAACTTGCTTAATCAGTGCGCGTTGCGCTTGACTACCTAATTCGTAAGCGATTTTTAATTTTAAAAAATCAATGGTTTACTCCTCGTCTCTCTTCTAGACAATTCTTCGCCTTGGCACTTGTACATATCAATACAATACATTCTATCATTTGCTCATCAAACCCTTTGAAAACAGTTTTTTTATTATTATCAAATTCAGTTCTAATTGTATCCAAATCTTTCATGACTTAATGATAACTCTTCTTTTTTTTTTGGAGGTTTACCGATCGGGACAAGGGCAAATTATCATCCGAAGCAAAATCGCTGTTGTCTTCAATGTTTTGAAAAACAACTTCTGCAGGAGCGTTCAGTTGTTTTGCAGGTAGGTTATCTATTGTAAGATTATCTGCACCCCTGGAACCTTCGTCGGTTATATCAGCTGCTGCATTCTCAGATGGAAATATAATTATTTTCTTGACTTTACCGGCATTTTCATCATCTTCCTCTTATATTGCAAGAGTTTCGTGAAGTGAAAATCCCCTGTAATTGAATTATATTAATGGACATATATTTTCCTAATGTGCTATATTTAGTACACATCGGTTTTACCCCTCAAAATGACTACAGATTTTAAAATTATTGGCAAATTAGTAATGCACATCGCTAATAGCATTATTTATTGTTAAGTTTTTGAATATACAGAATTTATATATTTGTTTATTTATTTGCAATAAACTTACCTTGCGAAACCGGACGTTATAATCTTCCATTTTGATATGTTGGCTAACTTTGAGGTTATGTTGAACACAAGCTAGATTTAGAAAGTCAATTTAATGCTCATACACTCATTGTCTTATGTATACTCAATGGGTTTATGCATTTAAATACGTCTCACGCGGCGCGGGTTTGGACTTGTTTGAGCCGTACTACATATAGTACATTAAGGGGTTAATTTTTCTTGCAAAGTAAAGGTAATATATTATTAATAATATCAATATTAAAACAAATGTTTGGAAGATTATATATTTTTAAAGTTAAAAACGCCAAATGTATCAACGTGTTTCATTGATTAATATTTTGAAATTATATAATACTGTTAAATCCATAAATTTAAACAATACATGCATACCATCTATAGATATAGATCTTTTATAAAAGATAATGATTCGGTCAAAGTGTCGTTTATAAATTATTATTATAATACAAGCCTTACACTGAGAGAACAGTTTATTAACAATTAACTAGATTTATCAATAACTAATAAATGCTTTATTCGATTATGGCGGAATAAACATTTATTTAGGATAAACAACGCATTGATTAAAATGTTTAAATAAATCTTTTTATTAAAAAATAAAGAAAAAATTTATAATAAATATGTTTTTTTGTTAATAAATAAATGCTTGTTTATAATAAATACTAAAATATTTAGAAGACATAAAACTTCATTTGTAAACCCTATACTTTAATTCACTATAAATGTATCCAGCAAGTCGTTGAATCCATTGTTTCCTAAAAATTTGCATAGCACGTCCATGGTTTGCAGATCTTCCATGCATGTTTGGATTTTTTAATAATCGCAGAGATACACTAGCCGGCACACAGGAAAGAGCCGGTATTTTACACTGTCACTATAGGTACAATTTAAATTAATGCTATTACAAAAAGATTGCAAACGAAACACTGATGCATAGATAAATAACAGTGCAAAGAACAGAATCACTAAACTTAACAGTACACAGAACAGAATAAGTAAACAGTTTACTGTAAACTTGGCAAGGCAAGTGGTACACCATACGGCGTATGGCATACGCACGCGGTACACCATGCACTATTCGAGAAACGTCTATGCTGTTTTGGTGCGTTTTGACAGAAGCTTGAGTACAGTAAACAAGAAATAAATATTTATTCATTGTTAATATTGATTCCTACCTAAAAATAAATTAAAAATTTATAATAAATAACTTTTAAAGATCGCCTAAGCAAATAGGTATTTATTATTCCCAAATTTGCATTATTAATAATAAACATATGGGCAACAAACAAAGTATTTGTTTCTGCTAAATAAAATATATTAAGCATATTATTAATAGTTGAAAAGGTTGATTAACAATAAATTTACTTTATTTATTGTAAATAAATGCTATCCAAATAAAGATTTGTTAACTATAAACTACACTTTTTCTCTCAGTGTAGAAACAATACACAATAAAAACACACAAATACACAAAATATTACAAAAATGCGATAACTACGGATATAATTGAACGTGAAAAAGGTCAAAAACGTCAAAACGTCAAAAAATTATACAATCCCTAGGCTAAATATTATAATACTGTCCCGACTTCGAGACAAGATTGGTTTGGTCTAGGGTATTTACATCGATGTCACGTGGCATATACTATAATTAAATTCTGTTACGAGAGAGGGGGAGGGGGTCAATTTTGACCATTTTTAGCGTCACGAGATTTAGGGCCGTAAATTGGCTTGAAGTAATTTAAAATAGTGTCATATGTTAATACATATTAGTATTATTTGGAATTCTTTTAAGATATTTAAAAAAAAAGTAATATCATATACTATAGTATATGATATTACTTTTTTTTAAATATCTTAAAAGAATTCCAAATTAATTTCTACCCTCCTACTCTAAATATTTTATTTCCTCCTTTAAATAATTAAATTAAATTCTGTTACTAGAGAGGGGGAGGGGGTCAATTTTGACCATTTTTAGCGTCACGAGATTTAGGGACGGCTGTAAATTGGCTTGAAGTAATTTAAAATAGTGTCATATGTTAATACATATTAGTATTATTTGGAATTCTTTTAAGATATTAAAAAAAAGTAATATCATATACTATAGTATATGATATTACTTTTTTTTAAATATCTTAAAAGAATTTCAAATTAATTTGTACCCTCCTACTCTAAATATTTTATTTCCTCCTTTAAATAATTAAATTAAAATTGTTCTGTTCAACCCATCTTCAACAAAAATTCTGTATCTCAATTTGCAAGATCAGAAAATCTATGTCCTAAATATAACTACAGTTTTTATTGTTTGTCAAAAAGTGTCATTTATTAAAAAATATACAAAAAAACAAAATGGTAAAGTTAACTCCAGAAGAAAAGAAAGCCAAAAAGGCAGAAAAGAAACTTGCAGCGATAGAAAAAAAGAGGCAATTGAAGAGAGATGCATTGGAAAGAGAAATTAAATTTGGAGACCTAACATTAAAACGGCATGAAAAAGAATGGAGGGAAATGCTTATTAAAATTGCCTTGCCAAGGATGCGAAATGAATTGGAATTTGCTTGGCATAATTTTGAAAGGGTGGTCGACTGTAAGGATTTCACTATTTCTTTATTAATGGATGAAATAAAGGACGCTAAAGAACAATACATGGCGAATTTTAGAAACCACATTGAAAGTCTTGATAAGCTCATAAGAATGTTTCACGATAGATTGAGGGAACTAAAAAGAGATAATAAAAAACAAGTAGGGTTATTCTATGTGTTTCAAATTTATTAACTTAATTATCAATTTATTTAGATAGAATATTTAGAGGAAGAGGATCAAAAGGAGTTGCAAGCTACTCAAGATTTAGCTGCTGATGGCACTATATACTTAAAAACTATGCTCTATACATTGGAATTAAACCGAAGAGCGCAAGTGGAAGTGGAAAATGTTGAATATTGTGCTAAATTGGATGAAGAAGAACAAAAAACAACCGAAAAGGTAACGACTTTAAAAGGAGTTCTTGAGAATAAATACAATAACATGTGGAAAGAAACTAAAAACTTTATAGACGAATATAACGAGAGGGTAGGAGGCCGCAAGAGAGAATACAAAGTTTTAAAAGAACAAGATGATTATTTGCAAGCTATGCAAGCTATAGACGTTGAAAAAATGTTTAAACTTGTAGAATATATAAAAAAATTGCGCCATAAATACAAAGTTTTAGAAAGTACAATAGGTGAAAGAATAAACGATTTAACGGGTGAACACAAATTTTACTTTGATGCTTTCATGGCTCTGAAAAAAAAGCTAGAGCTAGACAGAAAAAAAGATTTTGAACAATTAACCGTTTTAGCACTAGACTTTAACAAAATAAAAACGTACCTAAAAGCCGCAGTTGTAAAAGGTTCGCATATTCTTGAACTGGCAAGCACATGCAGACAACTAGAAACGTTAGAAGAAAAAATATTGCCCTTCCCAGTCCCACTTCCAGACGAAGCTTTAAAATATAAATTACCGGATATAGATTCTCCCATGTATAATAAAAGATTGTTTTTGTTTTGGCAAAGAGTTGGACAAGTCGATGCGTCAAGGTATGCCATAAATGAAGAATGTGAATTTTTGAAACTAGAAAACGAGATATTGAGATTAAAGATACACAAGTTTTGTATGTGTTTGAGTTGCAAAAGAGGGCCGTTAATCACCTACGGCGATAACACTAAAAAAAACTAAATTAAATATTAGATAAATTAATAAATATTGCAAATTTACCTAACAATTATGACAATTATACCTAAATATTATTTAATGAAATAAAGAATTCCAAAAAATATATTTGTCATATAAAAGGTCTAAGATAGATAAGCTATTATATTACTAAAAGGTTTTACCGTTGATTCAACGGTTTCACGATGGATCGAGGAATCTAAATTACAAATTTATTTGCTTTAAAATAATTTCGTTTTGGATATTTAGAGAAAGAAGACTTGAAACCTGCTCTATACGATAATTATAAAATTAAACTGAAGAGCGCAAAAGGAAGTGGAAAATGTTGCACATATATGTGCATTATAATTATTATAATAACAAAATCTGTAACTATTTACATATCTGTATAGTATACAGTGTATACCCCAGAGCCAAACTGTATTCAACAAACATCATTGTCTACAACCTTCAAACAAACACTCAATATCAATAATATAAATAAAATTTAGTAACTGTATCCGTACCTCAAGCCAAACTGTCCATTTTTTTAAAATCACGTAACAAAAATTTGCCTTCATGTTTCCGCTCTTTCCAATGATAAACAGGATTAAAAGCTCATTCACATCCACTTAATAAAGGTAAATTAACTTAAGAAACCTACGTCTGTTAAGTTGTCTGTTTACATTAACTTAATAAATAACAAATATGTGCATTCAAACAAAAAACTCTTACTCCAAATAATGTGTCCCATGAGTTTAACACAAGAGGACAAAATAATCTACAAATTCCATATCACCGCATCAGGGCTTCCCAAGGAGTAAACTACTGGGGCTCCAAAGTCTACAATAAACTACCACAAGAATTTAAATCTCTGTTTGTGCATAGTTTAGACCGTGCTGTTAAACTTTTTTTGATTTAAAATGTTTTTATAGTCTCGTTGAATACTTCTGTTTTTTTTAAATCGGCTTATCTTGTACTAGGTATGTATATTTTTAATTATTTCATTGTTTTTGCCTATATATAATTATTTATTACTCATTTGATTGATTTTATGCTTTACTTTAATGTTTACTATTGACTTTTCATGTAATTTTTATTGCAGTGAATAAACGTTTATTATTATTATACACGCAAAGAACGTAATATACAAGCACGCGCAATGTATACATCGATGTAGACTGGGTTGCCTATCTATAAAAGTGAAACAAGAAGATGTGATTGGCTCACGTAAGAAACGTATTCCCTTAAGTTGTGCCGGACCCAACTTTTGTATACGTTAAGTTACGTGTGATGTTTTCTACGAATGTAGACAGCTGCATTGGTTTCAATGTATTTCAACTTACGTCTATCAAGTAAGTTAAGTTAAGTTACGCTTATTAAGTGGATGTGAATGAGCTTTAAGTACTAGCTTAATAAGTAAGTGACTCATCAAATTCTAAGTAAGCCAGGACTTAAACCTGGTTACTATTGGAAAGAGCGGAAAAATCTAGGAAACCAAAAAAATGGACAGTTTGGATCTGAGCTACAGATACAGGTAGGGGAATTAGGAAATTAATAAAAAGAAATGTAATTTAAAAATACACTTACCTACCCCAGTTTACTTACTGACCCAACTTTCGGCAGTATTTAAAAGTTTAGTATTGTAGGGTACAATCGCCATAAGATTGCGCAATGTTTACTATTATGCGCAAGGGTTTTGCATAATTTATTTCTTTGCGTATTTAAAGTGTATTCTTGGTATAATTCATTAATATTAATAACATTTAACAATTAAACCTTTAACTTCCAATTTTTATGTAATTATGTAATTATACAAAGACTTAAATAAATAAGTGACAATATTCATTGCAAAAAGAAAAATAATTATAATTTTATTTGTGTTTCCAAGGGAATCAAGTGTTGTTATATTTTTTTAAACTACCCCCTATCATTGACTGACACTGATGGTATCTAGTGGATTTAGGATAGAAGCTGAAAATATAGTCTATTTTCAAATGATACGGCTAGATATTTAGCTCCTTTGTATCCTTGGTACAATAATATTGTGCCTCTAACTTACAAAACTATCTCGCCTCTAACTTACAAAAATATCTCGTCCTGGGACTGAAAAATATATTCTCAGCACTTTTTGCACTTTGGTCAACCAAAGAATCACAAGTGGCTAGAAATAAAGATTTTAATCGAAATAAAGAGCAAAACTCGATGAAGTGCATCTAAGAATTTACATAATATGTAGTGACAAAGAAATGTAATGATGATGATGGAGATAAAAATTGTAACAATGTGTCTTCGAAAATATCGATTTTAATTATTTTTTAAAATATTTCTCTTTACATGATTAACTAATAGTTAATAACTATGGTTTCGCGAAAGGATCGAACGGTCGATTTGCAAGGGTTCAAGAAATCGATTGAAACTTTTTTACCTTATTTCTAGAAGATAGATCTACATCTACTGGTACTTTAAAAAAAAAAAAATCTCGTCCATTGAGAACTTTGTTTTTATTTTTTTCTTCACTTCATATTTTTTAAATAACTTTTTTTAGATTTTAAGGTACAGGGGGCGCTGGTGATAATTAAATTTAAAATTTAACAATTTTTAAAGGGTAAATAATCGAAGAAGCAACTTTGTTTTATACATTTGAGTACAACACGTTAAAATATTGATATTTGACTATTATTTGATATATTAACTTTTTTATGCAAATGATGTTTCTGTGACCAGGATCAGTTTTGAATTAGTATTCATAAATGTTTAGTTTAGTACATTTTGTCATTTTTATACAAATATTGTTGTATCTTTTATTAATAATTAAGTATACCATAACACATAAATGACGTTTAATATACAGGGTGTTTCACGTACGTACCCAGCTAACAAAGTTGTGTTCAAGTTGATATCAACGCGAGCTCAAGACTTGATTTTATACATCAAGCTTTGAGGTCAAAAACATATCAAGTTGATTCCTCATTTAAGCTCAATGTGATATCAAACCTTGATTTTCGATTAAATTCGAATCGGATGCGCGCATGCGCTGCCTACTTTTGGCGGAATAATTCAAATATTTAAAAAAATCAAGTTATGGGTTTTGAAAGGCAAAAATACTGTTTATTTGGATTTAACATATCCAAATAATTACCAACTTAAATGCTAGCATTTAAATTGATAATATTTTTTTTAGATTTGGATATGTTTGCATCAAATAAATAGTCCTTTTGCCTTTCAAAACCCATAACTAGTTATTTAGATTTTCTTGCATAAAATAAAATAGGCAATTTTCTGGTGTTTTCTGCTGTTTTTTAAATTTGTTTGCCTCACGTTGTCTGGTGATTCTTAATGCTTCTTGAATGTGTGGCAAGAACTCTTTATTTGATGTGGGGCCTTTAAAACAAGACCCTGTACAGCTACTATAGACAGAAGAAATTGCCAATAAAAACTAAAACTTAATGAAAAAAGGATGACTTACAATAGATTACGTGATGTAATTTTGTATCCTTTTATTATTATTTCCCAGAAAGGTGAACTCCATTGTCAAAATATCAGTTATCGCTTCTTTAATAGCTATAATTTGTATTAATGAAGGCCCTTTTATTATTATTTCCCAGAAATGTGAACTCCATTGTCAAAATATCAGTTATCGATTATTTAAGAGCCATATTTGCATAACACTTTTGGCACCAAGATTTTTTAGGTAAATGAACTGCAATTAAATTTTATCTTTAATATAAACACTGGCACACATTCAACCTATTTCAACCCTCCAGACTTTTTCTTTCATTAGGTGTTTCACTGGACTCGAAGTGGTTAAATTTTGCCCAATTTTTCAATGAAAATCCCTTCAACTGTTGGATGCTGGAAATTTTTGTGTCAAAACTGGTCCTCTCCTCCAAAGCATCAATTCTGTTTGACAATGCTTTGAAGAATTTCCCTAAGAGAAATAATGCAGTTTAAGTATTAGAATACCTGCATTTTCAACAGTATTTATAGTATATATTTACCTTTGATTTGACAGAACTTCAGCAAGCTCTTGAAACATTTTCACCGTTTGTGACCAGTAAATGCCCGCTTATTGTTCACTAAGACGCAAATAAAGTGTCGGAAATTAGTCGACACAAGTCCGACGAAAGTGTGGAGGAAAGTCTGAATTGCCTTGGCATATGTGTCTTTGTACCAATAGCGGACGCAAAAGCGCGTCGCATCATGCGACGCGCTTTTGCGTCCGCATGCGACTCGCATATCGTTCGATAATTATTATTCAAGCAACATTACGTTCACATGCGTACGGCACAATATGTACCCCAGTGTATGTCACTTTGTGGACATTTTGTACGGCTCAATGCGGTCCCTCGTGTACGCCCTAATTTGCGATTTTTATTTTTAAAAAATATGAAATATTTGAAAAACTTTTTTAAATAAAGTATAATTCTTTGGTATAAAAATCCTCATTATTTTTGTAAAGCCCTCTTGCAGAAATCCTTTAATGCTTTTTTACATCTTCTGTTTTTTCATACGAGGTATTATATAGTTAGAAAAACTACTTCTATTACGCCTTTCAAATCTACGAAGATGTTCTTCGCTGTTTCCGTTGTTAAACATAAAAAACATTAACATGTAAGTAAAAAATTAAATATGCTAACCAAAAACTGCTGTAAGTATATTAAAATTAGAAATAATTTAGTATTATTACAAAGTTGTACTTTCTGGTATCTTTTATTAAATTATCTTATTAGTTGTTTCTCCGCTTATGTTTAAAATAAAAAAAGTGTTTTTCAATCGAGATATAATTTTGCATGCGCCACTGTTCGCAGTGGTCCCAATTGTGTCCACGCTACATTAAAAGCGGCATTCTTGCAAAACAGCCAAAAGATACAGACATATTTTGATACTTACTTGATAACCGGACGACTAGGTTGTTGTTTCCAACAGTTATACTTATTTAAAATTCACAAACACCGTATAATCCCCCAAACCACTTCAAGCATGTATACTCTTTCTGGACATGGCCATTATAAATATAGTACCGC